TTTTTCTTTCCTTCCACCATGCGGTATCAAACTCCATTAAAACATCCTGAATGCAAATATGCTGAATGAAAGTGAAGTGCTGAACTGCAGTTAAAGTCTGAAGATTAAAAATTAAACATACAAAATTGCATGAAACTCTGGAGGAAACGCAGGATAGCCTGATGATGTGACATTTTTTTATACTGAAACTTTCCTTCTAAAAGCGTGTCCTTGGTCTTATCCAAATTTCTTTGCACATTAAACACACGCAGGGCCGGAGCAAGCTGAACTGGTGCTCTATGCAAACGGCAATTTAGCCGCCCTCAACCCGAAAGTGAAAAAGGAAGTGAACGGTTTGCTGATGAAAGCGAGCACATTAAGGGAGAGGGTGGGTGTAGCTGATGAAAGTGAAGAACGGGGGGTTCACTTACTATTCTGCTGAACACATGTCGACCACAACAGGATAAAAAAAAAAAAAAAATGCAATTCAATATATATTCCAGTTCAATATATATATATAGTCAGAGGGTTAATCTTGGTTTCAGTTTAGAACATTATTAGTTTGTAAAACTATATATAAATATATATATATATATATATATATACATATATATATATACATATATATATATATATACATATATATATATACATATATATATATATATACATATATATATATACATATATATATATATATATATATATATATATACATATATATATATATACATATATATATAGTTTTACAAACTAATAATGTTCTAAACTGAAACCAAGATTAACCCTCTGACTATAATTCCACCAACAAATTCTACAATCATTGTATCCATATTACTGTTCTTGAAATGAAAGATCCTTAAGGCCTTTCTTGTTGTTCAATTCCACAAAATGGGACTCTAAAAGTCGTTTGGCTCATTAAATCTATTCCACTAAATTGCAATGAGGTACAAACTCTCATCTAAGCTATCAACCCTTTGCGTTATTTCATTCCTGCTCTAATAAAAGTCATTGTTTACGTGACTAACTGAATGTATTCAGTGCATCTCCCTAAAGAGCAGCCAGGCAGTCTATTTCCTCTTTATCTCAGGTGACTGTCATGTTTACATTAATTTTATAATTGCTCGCACAAAACATCTGAATAGGAACAGCACTGTACCCACACCCACAGTTCCGACTACTCATTGTACCGTTTTGCCAGCTGAATTGCAGCCTGTCCTCCAAACAAAAGCACTGAAAGCGTTTCCGACAATTTGCCGGCTGGTCTGCTTGGAAACCCGGCCAACAGCACAAACCGACTTACATTGCAGAGGCACTGGACGTTCCCTTAGGACAGCTCAATGGAAATTAATTCACGCAGAAATATCAAACTGCGCTCAAAAAAGAACCCTTATCACTAGGCGGCAACTCCGACAGCAGACAAAGAAAGCAATCTGTGCAGAGGAAGAAGAGGACGAAGGCTGTGTTTCATTCACAGGACACACTGCCCTCCTCCACCACTGGAGCGTGCATCCCTCCATCAATTCCAGTCTTTTTCAGCCAAGCCATCATTATATCCTCCGGGCTCCAGTGGTGTGGATGGGGGTTGGGTAAACCACAATAACTAAGGCCTGGGATTTCAGATCAAACCTGATTTTAAAACCACAAACGTGAGTACAGTTCCAACATAGTATAGTCCTCTGAATGCACATAGATGAGAGAGGTCATATGCTTGCTAATTGTAGTAACCAGTTTTATAGATCTCACAGAAATGCATGTGATCAAATGTGACTTTAGGATAAAAACAAACATTGAGAACAATCAACCTTGTCAGTTGGATGTTCAGGCATGTTTCAGCTATTAAAGCATGCAAATCTGGTGGGTGAAGCCTGCTCTTGTTAATATCAGAGAGTTGTAAAAAAGGTTTGACATTTATGATTTGGGAATAGGGAGGCTGACTCGGTTAAGAACAGTAATAATTGTATCTACAGTACACAAAAACACAAAGAATGGTCCCTTCCTATTTTTTTTTTTTTTTTTGATAAGTTCTTAGTAACACAAAGTTTTCTGAAGCTTGAATAGGGAACTTGTTTACAGTCAAAAACGTATGGAAGTTTTTCTGAAGTTTAGGAGAAACAATTTTCCTTAGGAGATTAAAAAAGATTGAACCATTCCAGTTCAATTATGCTAAAGTACAGCCCCCCCTGTGATTTATTTATTTATTTTTATTTTTCAATCGCTGTTAAATAGATTTACATACTAGTTAAAATAACTAATTTCTAAAAACACATTTCTTGTTTTTGCTAGGATTTTTTGGTGGAAGAACATAATATTTTTAACTGTTGAGTAATGCAGGCTTCCAAACAACATGAAGGAATAAAGTTAACATATTAATTTTTAGAAATTTAAGTGGCCTGAAAATGAAACAATTAAGTTACCCCCAAAAAGAAAAACAAAGAAAAACAAGAATTGCTTTAGGGCTGGTTGAATAATTGTAAAGTAATCAAAATGAACACTCCAAACCAATAATCAATCTAATTATTTCAAGTCGAAACAATTTTTTTTCATTTACTTACCTTACTGCGTGTGGTGTCATGTGTCCCTGTTCTGTTTGTTACAATTGTGTTACTTTGCACTATATTAACGATGATCGGAAGCTGGGCCAGAGATGCCCTTGAGATGGCATATTTTCCACTACATCAAAATTATTTAAATGAAACATTTGTTTACAAAAGATGCAAGAAATGCAGTTTAAAATATTATTTACAGCATTATAGAGTTATTGTATTTAGAAGAGATACTGCTTATTTTCTACTTTTTATATAAAAAACATTTAAAATAATAAATTTTGTTTCCAAAAGTGCAAGTTATTTATTTTCACTCTTTAATAAGAAAAAGTTCCTGTTCATTTTGGGCAATGTGTGTTTTAATTTCAATTGTTCGACAGTGATGTTCAATAAATAATCATAAATAGATACAAATGAAGTAATGCTTCCTTCATTTGGAAATCTCTCACTTGTAAAATGTGAGCACATTTACTGTGCAAAACCTGTCAGTGAACTTTAAGAGCAAATAATAACAATGGAGGAAAATAAAAAATGGAGGAAAAACTAGTGTAAGTTTGGCACGAGCACTGTGTCTGTTTGACGTGTCATCTGATCAGTATCACAATCAGGTCGAAAAGTTTAAAAAAAAGTTGAGGAGAGATTGTTAATTCTCTTTAAAAGTCAGGTGAGCAACACAACTTTCTAAAGCTAAAGCCTTCTTTTTCCATTATGTAGTTAATAACAAAAAATATTCTATGTCACCTAATGTTGTTTCCATGTCTTTCCTCAAATTTGTTAGGTTGTGACAGGTAGTTTGGACAAAGTTGTCGGTGATTCTTCCTATTTTCTTTAAGTCATGCAATGTGAACTCTCCTGTCGCCAATCCATCCTACAGTGTAAACCCAGAATGCTAACCCAGATGGTTATGCAGTTCAAAAACATCCATGACACGACTACTTTGAAAATCAAGCAGTCTGAACTGCATTAATTGTAATTAAGTTAAAATGTTCAAGTAATCGAGAGTTTAAATTTAGGCCAAATCGCCCAGCCCTAAATTATATTGTTTCTGCTCATTTTAAATAATTTGGAGAAAAAGCAAATATCATTTGTCCAATGTAGTTATATTGCAATACTAGTTTTTGCTTCAATTCGGTTAAAGCTAGTTTAATTAGTAAAGTTATTGACAACAGTAATGTTAAAGTCACCAGCAATCTAGCTACTGCGGATCACTGGAGAACTATAGTTACAAGCCCTGCCATGCACCACACACAAACACCTGTTCTGGTTTTATATTGATCACACACACACACACGCACACACACACACAGCTGGGAGCTGCTCAAGGATTGATTTGACAGACTATAAATAAAGCACACTTGCACACACAGGGTTGAGTCTTGTTAACCTGTAAACATTCATTGCCTTGTTTTCTAAACTCTTGCTTATTTGATTGACTTTTGCAGTTAGCCACCTGAACCGACCTCTTTGCCTGTGACTCGACTACTCTTTTTTGATTACCCTGTGTGATACTGTTTGCTCCTGTGATTGACCATTGCCTATCTGACCATTCTGATTAAATAAAGACGCTGTATTTGGATCTTCAACCCCAATATCATTACCAAGTGGCTTGTTTTGTCATGAATCTGAAAATGGGGGCTACTACTATTGACCATATAATATTATGGTCAATATGGACTTATAACATTATAATAGCTTTGTCAGGTTTTATTATTGTTATATTTGCTTAATCCAGTCAAACTAAACTAAATAATATTTTTTTTCCAGAATAAAAAAAATCCCCCTGTTAAACAGCACTTGAGAAATATAGGAGGGCTAATAATTTTGTCTTCAGCTGTATAAAAGTTTTGTGAAGCATATTTTGCACACTCTTACTTAATTGTTTTGGTAAAATTAACTTTTTTAGTCAGCCCAATTTACATCAATCAAAGTGACACCAACATCAAATAAAACTTAAATAATTTTCTTTTGGCTTAGTCACAATTTTAGAGGTTGCCAGTAATACAGTAATATAAAACTGTATTCAGCCTGAAGTGGGCTACTAAGTTGAGTCTTATTCATGTGAGTGAATCATCTGCCTATTACCCTTAAACCTTCTGACAGCTGTTAGACTTCTATCCCACTTCAACCATTTTCTCCATGATTAACGCCGCCTCTCATCACTGAGTCACGTAAATCCTTCTAATATCCTGACAAAGTCTCCTAAATACCTGCCGAGTGTTCTAAGTATTTCAAATACACATGCAGCCATTATGAACATTGCCAATATAAACTCGGTCTGCCATAATACAAGAAAAATTAAAGCCATAAAAACCACTAGATTGTGAAATGAATGTCACAGTCTACCCACGCCACACAAAGAGGTCAGACTCTCATCAGCGTCTGCGACATTCAGAAATGCAGTTCAAGGGGAATATGTCACACATGTGCGGCATCAGCAGCGTCCGCATTTGCATAATAATGAAGATGTTCACCAACCTTGACAGGAGCCATTAACTTCCTCATGGCCCGCCTGGCACATGCACCTCCCAATGGGCACCAGCCACTCCCCCTCAGCACTGCAATGCATCCTGGGAAGTTCATCGGCCACCGAGTTGTTGACGCAGGTCCCTGACACCTCCAGAAGCTGCGAGGAATCAGCCCCAGTTATAGTATCCGGGAAAAGGGCCAAATTCCTGACAACAAAAGGACACTTTTTGTAGAAGACACGGACGGACACGAGGGCGATACACGCGCCCAGGTCTTGGAAAGCCAAGTAGAAGCCTTTTTTGGTCAGTGGACCCAGATCCCTAACTTCCGTGTTTAGCTTCATGACTCTGTCTCCGAGATCAAGCTCCGTAAAGCTCTCGTCGGCGGCAATGGTGTCAATCTTTGAGTACTGGCTTTCCCGAATATTCCTTCTCTCCTCATCATTGGTTTCGTAATAGTACACGTTGAAAGTCTCCTTGCACGTCCCCAGACCTCCGGGGAGACTGTTGCAGTCCCGTAGGGTGAACTTGAGCTCCAGGAACACTCGCTGGGCACCTTGGGTTAATATCCAGTTGGTCTGCAACCAGTTGTTCTGGTTGTGCTCCATCACTTTGCACACTTGGTATGTGTGAATTGGTGCATAGTTCTCATCCACCTCTCCGATTTCTTCCCACTGAAAAAAAAAACAAGAAAAACAGAGTTTTTCATAAAAAAAAAAAGATTTTTGATCAAAAAAAAAAGAGTTTTAGAAACTAAAGGTATTTTCACAGTTGTAGATCAGTCCTCTTGGTTATTTTGGTCAATACCAAATCAGGAAGCAATAAATGTAGTCCTATATCACTTAAGGCCTTAATTCAGGAATGCTAAAATTGGTCATGGAGGGCCAGTGTCCTGAATAGTTTAGCTACAACTTCATTCAACACACCTGTCTGGAGGTTTCTAGTGTACCCAGAAAGAGCTTCATTAGTTGGTTCAGGTGTGTCTAATTGGGATTGGAATTGAAATATGCAGGACAACAGGCCTAAAGGACACAGATAGGGCAATGATTTAAATAAATGTATTTTTCTATTCTTTGTTTGAGGAAAAAAGAATCTCAAAAAGATTAAGTGATGGTATACTGTTTTTGACGTAGATGTGGTTGTAAATGCGTAATTTTGCTCATGTGTACCCCTAAACACAACAACAATGGCAGATGATGCCCCGTTTATACTACTACGTTTTAGTTTTGAAAGGCATTTTAGAATGAAAATGGGTGTGGTCCACAGTGGCGTTTCACCTAGCGTTTCTGAACAGCTCTCTGTCCATACCACACTGCTTAAAACGCACATCATATGACCACACACACTCTGGCATGCACTGCAGCGTATGCATGCATCTCACCTCCAGGCAGTCAACGGAGAGCTGTGCACAACAGACGGTTCATCAAGGATCTAACGCTGGATCTACTGTAATCTCACTATATTTGTTAAACACGATTTGTAATTAATCTTGTTGTCTATATTTCTCCAGGAATGGGTTGCAGTTAGAAGGGCATCCGCTGCGCAAAACATATGCTGGATAAGTTGGCGGTCCATTCCGCTGTGGCAACCTCAGATTAATAAAAGGACTAAGCCAAAAAGAAAATGAATGAATGAATGAATGAATTAATTAATTAATTAATCCATGAATGTTGTCTATATCTAATGACATATTCTCTGACTTTGGTCTTTTAAATCTATTGTTCTCGGGTAACGTGTTTTGGCTGAGCACAAAGATAAGGAAATATATTAAACACATGTACACTGATTCTGAACATTTGACTGATTGCTTGCCTTTATTTCCTATAATGTATAAACTTATTGTACGTTATACTTTTATAATGGCCATTATAATAGTATGGTTATGTTTTGGATTCCACACTGAAAATGAAAGGAGGCAGTAATGTTATAGGTTCTGTTTAGTTATAAATATGCATACAGTAAATATGACGGTCATATAAATATGTAGCTACACGATGCCTCACAATTTTTGGTGTCTGTTAAGTTGCTAATATCAAAATGAGAATAGGCAAATCCTTATATCATGTTTTCATTTTTATTGTAAAGATAGTGAAACAACGTAGCCAGGGTGATGTAAATAGGGTTATAAAGTACACTGTTCCTTTTAAGATAGCCGACATGTAATTGGGAGTTTGTTTTCCATAAAAAATTTAGCAAAGTCTAAAATTACAACGAAAGGATGCAAGACTGAACAGTGCTTATGCTACTTATTATTGAGGAAAAAGCCAGAATCAGATGAATGTCTGCAGCCATGCCTCTTCAGTATTTTCAAAATGCTCCGTTTTCAGCACTCAAAAACTCTGGGGTAGTGTGGACGGATAGCGTAACCGTAGCAAAATGTATACGTTTTAAAACGAAAATGTATTAGTGTAAACAGGGCCTGGGAGAGAGGTACAGTTTCATAAACATCAAGCAAACACCCTTGATCTTTATTTTTCAAAACATTCGAATCTTTATTTTTCTTTAACTATTCGAAACTAGTTTTACACTGTTTAAAGATGTGGTGTGACATGGTTGTGCTTCTCATCTGATGTATACCTCTTTAAAAATTATCTGCGAAATTTAAACTGAAGTATTAGGTGAAAAAAAATGTTAACCCATTTAGGTGGAAGTGACAAACTGCATGTTTAGCTGTTCCTTTCTTCTAAATGCAACTTTTGTCAATATTTAGAAGTACACTAGCTAACAGTCTTTAAGACTTACATAGCGATACTAACCATTTTAATTTCATGCATGGGACCTTTAAAATGGTGTCCTTTTAAGGTTTGCACCAACTGACAGCATATCCTGTTTTTTGATTGTTGAGACATCTTTAGTCTGTTTTTCCCAGATTTTTTGACCCTAGAACCTACTTCAGAGTTCATTTTGAAGTAGACAAAGACCTAACTTTAACTCTCTTGGTCCATTAGTTTGCTGCTTATCAGGGTTCAGATGACAGTGTTCAACCACAAAAAAAGTCCAATAGTATTTAACTGAAACCTGACTAAAGTAATAACAACACTGCCTCATCAAACCATGTAAGTCATTTAATGACTCTCAGTTTTTCTTCATAGATTTATATATATTTTTTACTTTTTTATGATATTTATATGCTCATGATTAATTGTCACCTCAAACAAATGTAAAAAATGTCCTTTCATCAGATTATGTAACTAAAATATATACAGTATCTAACCTTAATAAGATTTCATACTTAAGCATAATATGACAAAGTGCATCTTGAGAGTAAATAAAAATATCAGTCACAAGTAATGTTTACTTTTTTTCTCTCTCTGTTTACTTCACACCTCACATATTTGTTTCTGTGTTTTCTTCACACATGACATATAATATTTAATCACAAGCATGATTTAAACATAAAAAAACAGGGTCATGTCTGTTCATATCTACCAACACAACCACTTTTTTCAGGGAAACCAGCAAAATCGTGTAATTTGTTTGGCCCAATGATGTTACAAAAAATATTTTTTGTACTTGTTTGTCAAGTTAAGCTCATAACCTTAACACATATAATATAATATATTCAAATTTCGAAGCACTTTTTATCTCAATCTGGTAACATACATCACAACCCAGATAGAAGGTTGCTGGTTCGAGGCTTGGCTGGATCAGTTAGCATTTCTGTGTGGAGTTTGCATGTTCTCTCTGTTGGTTGTGTGTTCATGTGGGTTTCCTCCGAGTGCTCCGTTTTCCCCACAGTCCAAAGACATGCGCTATAAATGAATTGGGTAAGCTAAATTGTTTGTAGAGTAGTTTATGTGTGTGAATGTTTGTATGGGTGTTTCGCAGTGATGGATTGCAGCTGTAAGGCCATCCACAGCATAAAACATATGCTGGATAATTTGGTGGTTCATTCCACTGTGGTGAACCCAGATTAAAGAGACTATGCCTATAAGATGCCTATATAGGCTTTTTCCATAGGCTTTTTGAAGATTGCAAATAATAAGCTTTGTGTTCAAACACTGTTCATTACACTTGATTTTGCTTTACAGTTGTTGTAAAAGTTTGACAACTGTATATGTATAAATGTGCCTACATAGAATTGTTATAAGACATATTTTAATAAGTGTATCGCTAGCATGCATACAGCCTGCTTATCTTAGTAACAGATGACAGAAAAATCTATATTTAATATTCTTTTTTTGTCACCAAATACAGTGAAAAAAGCCCATACAGTCACATATGCTATAAATTTTAAGGAGGAGTGAAAATATAGCAGTCATGACATACAGTTTAAGTCAGAATTTTTATTCCACCTTTTTTTTAACATTTGCGATTTTTTAACAGCGCAAGGACATTTTCATAGTATGTCTAATAATTTTTTTTTGTTGTGGGGAAAGTCTTATTTGTTTTATTTTGGCTAGAATAAAAGCAGTTTTTAATTATTTTAAATCAATTTTAAGGTCAAAAGTATTATCCCCTTTAGGCGATACATAGTTAACCTAATTAACCTAGTTAAGGCTTTAAATGTCACTTTAAGCTGTATAGAAGTGTCTTGAAAAATATCTAGTCAAATGTTATTTACTGTCATCATGGCAAAGACAAAATAAATCAGTTATTAGAAATGAGTTAAAACTTTTATGTTTAGGAATGTGTTAACAAAATCCTCTCTTCGTTAAACAGAAATTGGAGAAAATAAAATATACAGGGGGGCTAATATTTCAGGGAGGCTAATAATTCTGACTTCACCTGTAAAGTTAAATGTGTTCAGATGTAGAAAAAAACGACGTATCAATTGATCAAGGTAAAATGACAGTTAACATGTACTGTATTTTATTTTTACACATTTATTTACACGTTTGCATTACTGAGACCAGGAAAGAGACAGGCTGCACTGGTAAACAGTATCCCTACAACACCATTTAATTAAAATGAAGGATTAACAAATTAATCTGTCTTGCCAGTCTTTATAAGTGAAGGCATTATCTACACACAATATGAATTCCCAATTAGAAAAATACTACAAACTTTAAAATACTATTCATGAAAATACTTAAATAACAGACAAATCCAAATGCCCAAAGCAAGCGGGCTGCATTCCAGACCAGTTCAGCTTGATGACGTATAATGTCTCAGACACCGCCTGTAGTCCCATTTAACCAACTTGAAGTAACTGATCTGTAGAATAAAATGTGAAAGTATCTTGAGTTTGTTGTAACCACAAAGATCATTTTAGCGATTTAGCCGAGATCCCATTCAAAAAACCCACTGACTTTGGGACGAGGGAACCGGAACTGCTAAAATGCAAACTCGCTTCTGGGTTTTTGCATACAAATTGACATCACAGTTCCCCCACTCTATAAACGTTGTATTGATTATGAATAATTATGAGAATATTAGAGAATATTACAATTTTGTATTTTAATACAACACTGTACCACAATGGAACTCATTGAAACACCACAATATCAAACAAAATATTGCTGTATATGTTTTGCTGTCCGTAGAGATACTCAATAACAATGCATCAGGTGGCAAAGAGAATGGAAAAACAATCTGCCAGCTATAATCTGCGCAGTCAGGAGGGCTTGTAACATGGCAGTTAACAAAGCAAGACCTCAAAATGCACCCAGAGGGCCCGAACGGCCCTTCAGAGCTCTTCAAAAGCACAGTCAATGACCAGAGAGACCCTCCA